CTTCCGATCTCCCCAAAACCCCAAAACCCCAAAACCCCTATTTGCTTAAATAGGCTGACGTAAGAGGGTTTGAAAAATATTGAAATTTAAGTTGTTATTTTAATAAAATTCTCTATGAGAGTAGTAAATTACATAAATAAAGTGACCTCTAGCTGAGTCATTGTGTATTTTCCATCAGTCTGTAAAGGTACAAATGCTTACTTACATAAGTCCTTGAATACAGACTATAGCCCAAAATTAGCGAGTGCTCCCAAATACAAGCAATAGATAGATCTCAACATGTCACGTTTATCATGAAATAAACTGTCTCTCTTATATGAAAACCTCTTAGAAAGAAGGAGGAGAGTTTGATTCAAATTTGAAAACAATTGCAAGTTTCAAATTGATATCACTCTCGCTAGCGAGACTCACTGTTCTCACCCATGTCAAATTTTAGTTCATTGTTAAGTTGTCAATGTGGAAGCAGCAACTGTTTTTGTTGTTTTCACATCTACGACTTTATCTGCTACTTGCCATGACCCTTGAGTGCCTCTTCTTCTATCACTAAACTTATTATTACTCTAGGCACAAATAAACTTATTAGCTTAAGGTTGAATACACAGAAGATGTTGATCATGAAGTTTAAAGTGTTCAGACTCTGGTTCCATCTCAAAACAACGCATCATTGCTGAGGCGCACTCAGTAGACTTTTACGACGAGTGACAGGATGATAAAGTTGATAAAGATGGTATATCTTAGTTGCTGCCAAAGCTAGTGTTTTTAGCTGAATCATAATCTCGGGAGACATCACAATCATCACAATAAGGCAATATATTATAACTCCAATAAGAGCTAATGTTTTCAAGATGAGTAGCACTAGACCTAGAAATTTCGAGTGCTTGCAACAAAGACTGTTTTTGTGATCTAAGTGAGGCCTAAGCAATTAAATTTAAATAATTTCTTACGTTCTTATTCTTGATATAGCTGACTTTCTTTTCCCCTTATTAGTTGACTTTTTAAAGAAGTTATCTGAGGTCGTAGATCTAGTTAACTAATGATTCTTTTTCGGCTTCGAGCATGTCTACCTTGTCTTGAAGGGATCTATAAAAATTTAGTAAATTTGCTTATCAAATAATTTTCTGGCAGAGAGTTTTTTGAGTAGACAGACATAAACGGTTTGATCAATAAGAAAGATAGATATTTGAAGTGATGAAAACTCATCTTAGTTTCTTAAAATCTTCTAATTAAATCATAATCAACTAAGATTGATCTCTAGATAGCTCCTTTGAGTCAAAGATAGAGGTATTGAGTATCTTAATAAGTTTCAAATTTATTAGATTATTGGATTTATACATTCAATCTGACTTTTAAGTCAGCAAGTTTTGGTGGTTGTAATGGATTCGGATTTAATTGAGATTTTTCCCAAATAGCTTGTTGAAAGTAAAAGATTTATTTAGATGTAATGAGACAGAAATTTCGAAAGTCTACTCTCAGCCAAAGTTTGATTCTTTAACTTACCTTAATTTTTCAAGTTTTTCTTAGGACACTTCTGAACGCTTTTGTTGTTGTTGATTTCTGAAAGTGGATGATTCGAAGATAACATTCTAAATAAAATTGTAAACATCAAGTCTAAGTCAAAAAATTTTCATTGAATCTGTCGGTCAATTTTAAACTCTTCTCTTTGTGCTTTAAAATTTCAGAATACATCTAGTATTAGATAGTATCTGCTACTTAAGAGCTAAGAGATTCAGTTTATATTGCGGTAAGCTAGTATCGCCCGACAGACAATTAATAATTCTGATGGAGTTTGTGGACGAAAGACTTACATTGTAGGTGTTGATGAGATTAGAGTTATCATTGTTGTATTCAGTGTTTTCATAGAAGTAATTGTTAGCCTTGTTGTTGAAGAGAGAAGTTGAAGTAGTGGGGATGCTTTCCATTTTATAGTAAAGATGAATTGAGTAGAGAGAAATTATTAATAATTATAAATTATTTATTATCTTCTTTTAAGAGAGAGTCAATATTCTTCTCAAAATATAAAATCACTTTGCAAATAAATCAGATTAAACACTCTCACTAAGAAAGAAACCAACAAACGAAATGATAATAAATCAAGATGATAAACATAATGGGACTCCCATGATTTCAAGGGCTGGTCTATCAACCATTCCATAACATTTGTGCTTTCAACTATCACGAGCTGATAAAAGAGGCTTGAAAAATTAAGATGCTAAACAGCTCAAACTATACAACTATGATGATGATCAGCTAGACCTTACTGCTTTTAAGAGAGAATACGAGGAGATTCAAGAGAAGCAAATGAAACTAGTTCATGATAAGGAAGAAAAGCGTATTAATGTTAAGAATTCAGTGAGTTGAAGCAAATGGTTATGGAAATTAAGGTAATCAAACAAGTAAAATACATCAAGTTTTTTGACATTCAATCGTAACGATTCAGCAATTTACAAAGTTCTTGAGAAGGAATAAAAAAATCTTAATTAAGGTGCAATAGTTGGACATTAATTTGTCCATAAGCCTTTTGAAGAAATTCCGAAATTGAAAGGAGTAATTAGAAGCAAGTCTACAATATCGAGGGAAAGGCCACAAACAGCAATGTGTAAGCGAGCAGTAAATTTCACAAACGAATCTTACATGAACTCTTCACTACTTAATGTTCATTCAACAATGTAAGCTAATTTAAACTTTTGATAGCAATCTATCTAGTATCTTGTAAAAGAATGCGTCGAAGTAGGCTCACAGTGAGTATAATAGCAATATAAACAGACTAGAAAGAATGAAAAGCCTCAAATTTTCATAAATTAGTAAGGAAAGATTAACTCAAATCAAAGCTCCCAAGTTCGATAAATTGACTAATAGGTAATCATTCCTTTAAAGTAACTAATTTCAAATTTTATTTAGAGAAAATTGTAAGCACTCAAGAAAATTAAGTTAACCTTAAGGTCCTCATGAGTAAAGATTTGTTTCGTTCAACACAATTAATACACATTGCACGAAATATATTGATCCATCTTAATATCCAACATTCGATAAGGTTTTATCAAGGCAATAATTAGTAGAAAGAGAACAAAGACTTTAAAATGATGCCTGTTTCCTCTAAGATTATGATCCTGATTATGAAAAAGTCATGACAAAGATCTCAGTAAACATTCCAGATTTTAATAAATAGCAAGGCAGACTTTAGTCAGTATAATAAAATTAACAAGCAAACATAAATTCAATTGATCCTGTAGTCTTAGAAAACTCTTATAAACTATTGAGTCATGTAAAGAAGGATATAACCTTCATGATTGATAAAAATAGAGGTAGAAATGAGGAACAAGGAGGCATATATCCAATCAAAGACAAAGACTACTTACTTAAAAAGTAATATGACTCATTTGCAAAAGCGTTCCAATAAGCAGCAGCTAACTCTATAATAAAGCAACAGTGGCATGATAGCAGGCATAGTAAATTCTCTAAGCAACATTCAAGTGTAGTCAAAGAAGATAGTTCTCTCGGCAGCAGAAGTAGAGATTATAGCACTAATAGTATAAATATCGTAAACTAGCAGATTAGTAATAATAACTCTGTTTCACGATAAATGACCAATTAAAAGGAATCAATGAGTTAGTTGAGATAGTTATAAATTCAGCAGTTCAATGACTACACTTTTGATAATTCTTCATAAAAAATACTGAGTAAGGCTTAGAAAATAATGAAAACTAGCAAAAAATTAGAACGATTTAACTTGATTGAATCTAAATTCAAAAAGTCAGCTAAAAGGCATTGATTATCAATAGAAAAGTAGTAATTCAAAGCCACTTAACATTTTAGGTATAAAGTTTTTTATATTTGTATTTCATCTTAGTTTAAAATAAGATGCATGGGGTTTTGGGGTTTTGGGGTTTTGGGG